TTACTGTGAGGATGAGGGCGGTGAAGAACCTGACATACTTAATACTGAAACAGAGCAGAAATTACTGTGAGGATGAGGGCGGTGAAGAACCTGACATACTTAATACTGAAACAGAGCAGAAATTACTGTGAGGATGAGGGCGGTGAAGAACCTGACATACTTAATACTGAAACAGAGCAGAAATTACTGTGAGGATGAGGGCGGTGAAGAACCTGACATACTTAATACTGAAACAGAGCAGAAATTACTGTGAGGATGAGGGCGGTGAAGAACCTGACATACTTAATACTGAAACAGAGCAGAAATTACTGTGAGGATGAGGGCGGTGAAGAACCTGACATACTTAATACTGAAACAGAGCAGAAATTACTGTGAGGATGAGGGCGGTGAAGAACCTGACATACTTAATACTGAAACAGAGCAGAAATTACTGTGAGGATGAGGGCGGTGAAGAACCTGACATACTTAATACTGAAACAGAGCAGAAATTACTGTGAGGATGAGGGCGGTGAAGAACCTGACATACTTAATACTGAAACAGAGCAGAAATTACTGTGAGGATGAGGGCGGTGAAGAACCTGACATACTTAATACTGAAACAGAGCAGAAATTACTGTGAGGATGAGGGCGGTGAAGAACCTGACATACTTAATACTGAAACAGAGCAGAAATTACTGTGAGGATGAGGGCGGTGAAGAACCTGACATACTTAATACTGAAACAGAGCAGAAATTACTGTGAGGATGAGGGCGGTGAAGAACCTGACATACTTAATACTGAAACAGAGCAGAAATTACTGTGAGGATGAGGGCGGTGAAGAACCTGACATACTTAATACTGAAACAGAGCAGAAATTACTGTGAGGATGAGGGCGGTGAAGAACCTGACATACTTAATACTGAAACAGAGCAGAAATTACTGTGAGGATGAGGGCGGTGAAGAACCTGACATACTTAATACTGAAACAGAGCAGAAATTACTGTGAGGATGAGGGCGGTGAAGAACCCGACATACTTAATACTGAAACAGAGCAGAAGTTCCTGTGAGGATGAGGGTAGTCGATACCTGACATACTTGATACTGAAACAGAGCAGAAATTACTGTGAGGATGAGGGCGGTGAATACCACAGCATAAACTCACCCAAGGCTCTAGGCTATATAGCTAGGTGACATACCACAGCATAGACTCACCCAAGGCTCCAGGCTATATAGCCACATTACATGTGACATACCACAGCATAAACTCACCAAAGGCTCCAGGCTATATAGCTACATTGTAGGTGACATACCACAGCATAAACACACCCAAGGCTCCAGGCTATATAGCTACATTGTAGGAGACATACCACAGCATAAACTCACCCCAGGCTCCAGGCTATATAGCTAGGTGAGATACCACAGCATAAACTCACCCAAGGCTCCAGGCTATATAGCTAGGTGAGCGAAAAAATCGTTATTCTGAATGACACGAGGGAACAAAAATTGTTTTGTTTATTGAATAATAGAGTTTAAAATTAATCCACTGCATGTTATGATGGATAAGATAATGTGTTGTGGTAAAAATAAGTAATTCTGTATTGCGATTCCAGCCTGGTCACTTACATCACTGATCCTCACATCAGCCAACATGTGCCAGTAGTCCTTGACCATCATTGTCATCAGGATGAGGGCGGTGAAGAACCCGACATACTTAATACTGAAACAGAGCAGAAGTTCCTGTGAGGATGAGGGCGGTGAAGAACCCGACATACTTAATACTGAAACAGAGCAGAAGTTCCTGTGAGGATGAGGGCGGTGAAGAACCCGACATACTTAATACTGAAACAGAGCAGAAGTTCCTGTGAGGATGAGGGCGGTGAAGAACCCGACATACTTAATACTGAAACAGAGCAGAAGTTCCTGTGAGGATGAGGGCGGTGAAGAACCCGACATACTTAATACTGAAACAGAGCAGAAGTTCCTGTGAGGATGAGGGCGGTGAAGAACCCGACATACTTAATACTGAAACAGAGCAGAAGTTCCTGTGAGGANAAGTGTAAGATAATACACTGAAGGTAATGAGACGTCGAAGTGTAAGATAATACTCTGAAGGTAATGAGACGTCAAAGTGTAAGATAATACACTGAAGGTAATGAGACGTTGAAGTGTAAGATAATACAATGAAGGTAATGAGATGTCAAGTGTAAGATAATACACTGCAGGTAATGAGACGTTGAAGTGTAAGATAATACACTGAAGGTAATGAGACGTCAAAGTGTAAGATAATACACTGAAGGTAATGAGACGTCGAGGTGTAAGATAATACACTGAAGGTAATGAGATTTCAAGTGTAAGATAATACACTGAAGGTAATGCGACATCGAAGTTTAAGATAATACACTGAAGGTAATGAGACGTCGAAGTGTAAGATAATACACTGAAGGTTATGAGACTTCGAAGTGTAAGATAATACACTGAAGGTTATGAGACGTCAAAGTGTAAGTGCTAAACTATCTGCTTATATCCGTTCAATAGATCACATTTGATCACAGACCGTTCAAATCCTCGAAGATAGACAAAACATATCCTAGTGTTAGTGGGACAAACTAACCAAAGTTCACATGTACACTAGCTAAAAAGACACATTGATAAACTCATTTTGTTGATAAGTGCACAAATTCACAGAGTGGATATGTATGCAAACTAAGTTAACATTTGCACTGAGTAGATACTTAGATAAATTCATCATGTCAACAGGTTCTAAAGCTCATTTAATGGACACAGAGATCTAGACTTACTCACTAAGTAGACGTACAGAATAACTTACCTCAACGTACATGTACAGGCCACGCCCATCAAGGACAGCCAGAACCACCACTGGATAGAGAACTCTCTACAATCATCATCACACAGGAATATATTACAATTACAAACTTACGATCTTTTCTTCCTTTCAATATTACTTGTAACAAATTAGTGTGTAGATTACTGATATACACTTTCATTACATACATGGTGAATTTACTACTACATGTATAACAATACAGCCTGTTTTCAGGCAACAACAAGGTCCTGTATTGAATCAGCACTGTGATATTACAACATGTTGTATTCCCCCAGCAGCCAGGACTCCTTTGTGACTGGAACTCGTTTGATATTGTCCATTGACCAAACAAAAGGTTGAAACAGGAATGGGTTCTGAACATTCTAGCACCATTTTTAGCTAGGGTAATGTGATGTCACTGTTCCATTGACAATGTTTTGTCTGCCATTGTTGTGCAGTGGGTTATGGTGAGCAATGTTTTTGTAGAAAATATAAAATGTATTTAAAAAAAGGTTTTGCAGACAATATCAAAAGAATTTAAAAAGAAAATGTAAGGTTTATAATGAAAGCAGTACCACACATGTCTTCATATGATGTGTCAGATAGCATTCATTGTACAAATGGATACACTTCAAGATAAAACCCTTGTGAAAAATACCCATATTTGCAATACACTTATGGAATCTGAGAAGGTAGAAGAACACACATGTGGTATTGCCTACCGGGGTATTCAACAGATACATGTTGTTTCAATATATAAATAAAAATAAAGCGAGAGGTATAATAAAGATTAATTACCTGTGAGCCAGGTTTCTGAATTTGAGGTAGCTGAAGACGGAGAGACAGAGGAAAAATACCATCATACCCTCCATCAACATGAACCTGGACTGTGTGAGGAGGGCATTGTCTGGGAAACAGCAATGTTCAGTGTGTCATTAGTACATAGTGGGTCAGGAGGGCATTGTCTGGGAAACAGCAATGTTCAGTGTGTCATTAGTACAAAGTGGGCCAGGAGGGCATTGTCTGGGAAACAGCAATGTTCAGTGTGTCATTAGTACAAAGTGGGCCAGGAGGGCATTGTCTGGGAAACAGCAATGTTCAGTGTGTCATTAGTACAAAGTGGGCCAGGAGGGCATTGTCTGGGAAACAGCAATGTTCAGTGTGTCATTAGTACAAAGTGGGCC